TTCGTTATCTTTCGGTCTTTCATGAATTTCATTTTAACAACCAAGCCAAATTACAAGAATACACATTCATTACATGAAATCACAAATCAAAGATTTTTGCTCAAATCATTCAAAATCTAGCTTAAAACTAAGAGAAGGAAAAAAAATAATTTGCAGTTTTTCTATCACCTCCCCTCCCAGAGTTTCTAATAGTCAACCCCTAAGAATCATAGATGGAATCTTGGTTAGAGCCCTACCCCTTGACATTAAGAATGTCAATATGGCATTCAGCAACAGAATGTTTAGCAGTAAAATGGCACAGGTTCATTAGGTCATTATAATGCCTCCCTATGTCAGAACGTTGATACAACTATGATTGAAAATTTGCAAAAACTAAACAAGTACAACCTCTTATACCTACTTACTGTCAAGTCAAATATTAATTTTTATTTCAATATTAAATTGATAGTTTCCAATTCAGGAGAACTTAATTTTTTTTTTTCGGAGTCTAATTTATGAATTTTAATTTAAATTGTAGTGTTTTTCCATCCCTTCATATTATAGCCTACAGAACACATATGTTTAAAGTAAATTAAATATGACCCTGAATGTTGATATGTCTTACTAAACCCTGCATTGAATTAACCCCAATAACCAGGATAGAAATCTATACCACTCAGAGTATAGAATGACACATGCATTCCAATCAGGAATCATGACTCAGTCGCTTTCATGCAACCACTTAAGTCAGTACCAATACATGTAAAAAATAGGTCAATTAAAGTGGAGGACAACACAGGAATAAATATAATTCTGTCACATGTAATACTTTTCGAATGTCTAGACGTGAGACTGACAGTACGATAAGAGTAACAGTATTAAAGTGTCACCTGATAGTCAACTTCTCTACAGAATGCCCCTAGCCTAAACAATAGTAACTTTCTTTCAAATATATCCCAGGGCAATTTCCATTAAAATACGGCTATTGTTTGTCAACACTGCAACTATGTGATATCTTCAGCAAATTTCCAATTGAAGAGTACAACAAATGATAGTAACACATACCATAGTATGTTAACTCAGCTGCACTGGATATAATTTCTTCAACTTCATTCTTGGCTTTACAATGGTAAAGTCCACCATCTGACCTTTGAACTGAAAGTACCCTGGAATGAAAGAATTTGGAATAATGAATAAAATTATACAGTAAGATAAAACAGATAAAACCATAATTGTACTTTTAAGTTTGATAATAGTGGGAACAAGGGAGGTGTGGTGGTGGGTGGGGATGTTCGGGTGGTGTGTGGTGGGGCTGGGTGGTGAAAAATGCAGACATAAATGGAACTAAATATCACTTAATATACTCTGTAGATACTGAAACATTGTTTCTTGCATGTCAGCCATATATTTGGAAAATGTTGTACTTTGTTCACTGCAGAGTACATGTGTATATAATACTCTGAGAAGTGATGAAAACAACCTCAGATTTTGAATAAAGAAAATAAATAATATATTGTACCTATGGCTGAGAAACACTACAAAAGCACATATAAAATTTAAAGTAAATAATAAATGAGAAACCTAAACAACCTACAGTGAGGTCATAAAACAGTAAAGTAACAACAATACAAGACTTGTATAAACATTTAATATTTATACACTAAATAATCCAAATTAAATACATTGTAACTTTGCAAATTTTGAGAAAATATTGTGACTGATACAACATTTTATTATTATTTTGCAGTATATAGTTACTGTGGTCCTAGATAATTCTGAATAAGTGCAAATCATGGATAATCTTCAAATATTTCCTTCAATTCCAACGATATAACACAATTAAGCAGAAGAAGGACCATATAACACAATAAGGCTATAATAATAACTATGATAAGAATGACCTCGGAGTCCAAGTTGGGTTAGTTACATGATATGAGGCCGTTTGATACAGACTTTAGTAATTCTAAGTATTTGACTGGTAGTATAAACAGCTGGTAAATCTCAGTCACAAGAATAAACCAGTGACCCCAATATATGACAGGTCACATCCTCAATAAATACAATTTATTAGCAGTTGTCTACCATTAAACCATTGATGTTCACCATATGGCTTATATTTATGCAGTTGCTCACAAAATCCAGATAAAAAAGATAAAAAAAACTGTCAAAAACCTATGAAAAAGTATGTTTCCCTAAAAGATTTAATTATACATGTATCTCAAAATTTTGTTCAGGTACAGTTGGAGTCAGACAAGGGTGCAATCTTAGCCCTACTCTTTTTAACATTTTCTTAAATGTTTCAACTCTGAAAACTGTGACTCCCCGGTTCTTGATAATTTAAAAGTAAGTTGTCTCCTATATGCAGATGATGTTGTCATTTTATCTAAATCTGTTAGGGGGCTACAAAACTGCTTAGACAACTTAAAAAATATATACGTCAAAATGGTGCCTGGCTGTTAATACAGAGAAAACAAAGGTTATTGTATTCAATAAATCAAACGGAGCCCTGAGCAATAATATATTCTTCTTCGCTGAAAAAGAAATTGCCATTGTTAAGCAAATTAATTACCTGGGTATAACTATAAGTGCTAATGGCAAACATAAAGAGGGTATCAATAATTTAAAAAATAAAGGGATGAAAGCTCTCTTGCTTTGAAATGCAAACTCGGTTATGACAACTCACTAAACATACCCCTCCAACTATCTTATTTGACAAACTGATAAGACCAATTATTGTATATGGTAGTGATGTTTGGGGTGATGAAAGCACAACTAAGTCTGCAATTGAGGATGTCCATCTTTCATTTTGTCGGTTCATTCTTGGTCTCTCCAAATTCACACCAAAAATGGCTGTTTATGGTGAGCTAGGAAGGTACCCCATTGACTGTTTTATCAAGAAACAACAACTTAAATATTTCAACCGGGTAACAAACTCTGATAACACATTACTAAGAGAAGCCTACTTAGTAAATAAGAATGTAAAAAGTAAATGGTTTACAAGTGTAGAAACCCTCATGCAAGATATAGATGTTGTCACCATTGTAAACTCAAGTGAAAAAATAATTAAGAAAAATTTAGACTTTATTCATAAAACAAGCAGCCTATCGGCTGAGATAGCTCCACTGTTAGCAATGCACATTTCAATTAAAGAAGTGAAGACATCATTAGAAAATGAACAATATGAATAGTATCAAAGCAATCGGACTTACAGTTTTTAACAAGAAGTCGAAAATATCACTTTTTACCAAAAATATTCACCAAAATAATTAATTAGAGAATTGAAGATATCATCACAAAACGAACAAATCTGAGAGAGATCCACATGTAGTACCTATATATGTAATATCAAAGCAATCGGACTTACAGTTTTCAACAAGAAGTCGAAAATATCACTTTTTACCAAAAATGACAAAAATATTCACCAAAATTAGAGAATTGAAGATATCATCACGAAATGAACAAATCTGAGAAAGGTCTACATGTAGTATCTATATATGTAATATCAAAGTAATTGAACTTTTGGTTTTTAACAAGAAGTCGAAAATATCACTTTTTACCAAAAACATTCACCAAAATTAGAGAATTGAAGATATCATCACGAAATAAACAAATCTGAGAGAGGTCCACATGTAGTACCTATATATGTAGTATCAAAGCAATTGGACTTGCGGTTTTTAACAAGAAGTCGAAAATATCACTTTTCACCAAAAAATGACAAAAATATTCACCAAAATTAAAGAACTAAAGATATCATTACAAAATGAACAAATCTGAGAGAGGTCCACATGTAGTACCTATATATGTAATATCAAAGCATTTGCACTTGCGGTTTTTAACAAGAAGTCGAAAATATCAGTTTTTACCAAAAATGACAAAAATATTCACCAAAATTAGAGAATTAAAGATATCATTACAAAATGAACAAATCTGAGAGAGGTCCACATGTAGTACCTATATATGTAATATCAAAGCAATTGCACTTGCGGTTTTTAACAAGAAGTCGAAAATATCAGTTTTTACCAAAAATGACAAAAATATTCACCAAAATTAGAGAATTGAAGATATCATCACGAAATGAACAAATCTGAGAGAGGTCCACATGTAGTACCTATATATGTAGTATCAAAGCAATTGGACTTGCGGTTTTTAACAAGAAGTCGAAAATATCAGTTTTTACCAAAAATGACAAAAATATTCACCAAAATTAAAGAATTAAAGATATCATTACAAAATTAAACAAGCAGCCTATCGGCTGAGATAGCTCCGCTGTTAGCAATGCACATTTCAATTAAAGAACTGAAGACATCATCAGAAAATGAACAATATGTATAGTATCAAAGCAATCGGACTTACAGTTTT